CAAGCACCGAGCTGAACGTGTGACTGTTGTGCTTGTCAAGGCTTCCTGTTCTGTTTGTTTTTCCTTCTGACTACACTCGATTGCCAAGAAATGAATAAAACAACACGAGCGATAGGCATGGAAGTGGTGGCTTTAAGGCTGAAAGGACACCACGGGAAAGCAGACAGTCCTGTCATGACTCAAATACCAAAGCCTTTTTCCCGGGACTCTTCCTACATTTGGTGCTAAGCAGCTCATGAAATTATACTGTAAGAGGGTTTTTTTCCAATCTCTTTCAAAAGGTTATTCCAGTTATTTCACTATCAGTGGCAGCATCCTCCTCATAATCATCCACACAATACCATAATCACACCCTGTGCTTTACAAAGGGAAAGCAGAAGAGCAGAAGTCTAGCCCAGCTCAAGGAGGCCCAGCTATTACTGATACTAAAGAGCTCACACTTCATCAAAAGCTAAATTTAGCTCCCATTTCCTGGCCTGAAGAGCTTGTGGCCTATGAGCCAGCTTCAGCAACACCTTCTTTCACACCTGCTATCCCAGCTGTAGGAAAGAAAGAAAATCTGTGAGAGCTGATTGCTGCTCACAAAAAAGGACCCAGGGACCACATCGTTTGGCAGGAGGAAAGAAAACACAAGCCCCCAGCGTGTCTAAAAAACTGACAGTCCATGATCCTCAGAAAACTGACTGTCCAGAACTCCCACAGGGGACAATGAAAATCCCCAAATGCTGGGTGGTAAAACGTGCCTATGCTCAGACAGTTGTACTCATACAACAAACACTGAGTGGGAAACTTATCATATATAGAGATGACTTTTCAATGTGAACCCAGCCTGGATTAAGCTGTTTGCTGCCTGAGAACCAAGTCTTCCTGTGAAACCCAGGTAGACACATCCTGTTATCAGGATTCCATTTCCTAAGAGGAGCTGCATCACCTCCGGCCCTGCTTGTCAGGTGTCATGTGTTAAAATAGGTTGGGATGGGTCAGTATTGCTATGGGAGTGCATCAGGATGATGTAAGGAAAGGTGATGGCACTCTTCCCTCTCTGACTCATTACCATGCAGTAATGAGCCACAAATAGACCCTGGTGACAGCAGAGAGGGGACAAGAACTTGAACACGGACTAGGACTCTCGTGAGGCATTTCTCACACAATCATAGAATTGTTTAGGTTAGAAAAGATCTCTAAGATCAAGTCCAACCACTAGCCCAGCACTGCCAAGCACAACTCTAAACCATGTTCCCAAGTGCCACAACTACAGGTCTTTTAAATACCTTGATCACTTCCCTGGGTAGTCTGTGCCTTGACAACACTTTCAGTGAAGAAATTTTTTCCTAATAGCCAATATAAACCTCCACAGCCTTTCCCTCATCCACTAAGCAGGTCACCTTGTCACAGAAGGAGATCAGGTTAGTCAAGTAGGACCAGCCTGTCATAAACCCACACTGCCTGCAGTGAAGCAGAAGTTGAATCTTAAGCTTTTCTTAAAATGAGAAATTGGGAAAACGTGTGATTCAGAAGTACTAAAATGCTTCATGTTATGTCAAATCATGTCAATAATATCCCATGCTATTAAAGAATTTGCAATGCAGCATGGGCAAAAATACAGATCAGAATATAAAATTTATATAAATCAGAAATACGAAATAATTTGAGGGTACACGAAACAGTTCATTTAAACATTATACACACACACACACCTGATTTACATTAAATCTTTGGGGGGGGGAAAAATACAAATTTTACCAAAAGTGCATTTCAGAATAAACAATATTGGGGAACATGTTTTGGACTAGTTTGACTTGTTCCACTATCATACACTTCCTGATATTAGAGCTGGACATGACATCAGAACATGATGCTGCTCAGATTAGCAAGGCAGAATGATTTTATAAAAAATTGGAAGCCATAATTTCCCACAGAAGTATTGAAGTCTCTCGGAAATAGCTAAACTGTGCAAGGGCGGCTCTCTCAGCACCTCCATTTCCCAGCTCCTCAGTGAATGGGTCTTTCGGATACCTCTGCTCTTTGTCACGTATTCTAGAGAATTTCTACTGAACTCAACTACTCGATAGATCCAGTTTTTGCATCTTGATTTCTTGAGCAGACTAAACATAACTTTGAGAACTGTTTTGGGTTGGTGAACACGCATTACAACTGTATAAGGGAAATCTAATTTTATACTCCCTCTGATCTGACCACATTTGATGAACCGAAACAGTACCAAGGACCAAGTCATACTGAAAACATTTTTAAAGTTTGTATTTTCAATTATGTTGAAATTCCCATAGTTCTAATGTAACCTGATCCTGTCTGCTCAGCCAGTCAGCAACAAACAGAAGTCCAGCTCGCTCCACTTCTTTATCAGTTCCTATGAGGTTACAGAAAGACATCAGTCTTTTTGTAGAAAATACCAAAGTATCCATGCTAAGATGTCACTTTTTCACAAACCCAATTATTTCTGTGTTTGGCTTGTTGGTTGTTTTTTTTGTTTTGTTTTTCTACAAAATCAAATGGCAGGCTGCTGCAGATGACAGTCTGTCCACCCTAACAATTTCCTTTCAACTCAGCAGGGAGCTGTGGGTTCAAGCTTTATCTTGTTTCCCAATAAGCAGTCCCATAAAAGCAGCTGCCATAAACTACAGAATAAAGACTTAGAAACAGAATTTGGAAAGGCAGGTGTAACTATTCCATCTATTCAGATACAGACACAAATGCTAGCACCACTAAGGAAAAAAAAAACCAGAATTAAAATTATCACAGGAAAAAGAATCAACTTCATAAATTATTTTCTGTCTAATTAATTCAAGTAACAGATTAAGGCAAGGAAGATTTCATCAATAATGAGGACCCTAATCTAGCTGATGGGAAGCCATGGCTTGTCTCCCTGCCCTCCCTGATGTGATGTACAGTGGAGGTTTTTCAAACCACAGAATGAGGACATTGGGGGACTTGCAGCAGCCTGTCTGAAATTCAGACTCCCTGCAGTAACACCTAAAATCAGTAAGTCATTCTGAGCCACAGAAATTCACTGAGCAGAGGCACTTCCATATGCTCCATGTGCAATGGGACACATGCCTGCATTTCAAGGACATGAGAAAAGACACACAAATCCCACCTATGCACCAAGAGAGTCCACCAAGTTTGATGTTCTCAGGTCACCCCAAACTTACTTAACTGCACCGTTTTCAGATTAGAAAGAGGAAATGGCTGCAGCCCCCTTTGACAGGGCTACAACCCCCAGGATTACACCACAGGAAAGGGAGCTCCAGAAACACACTCCACGAAGGATGTGGCCATGAATGTTTCCACATACATCTCCAGTCATTTCAGAGTGAAAGCATATTTGCCATGTCAAAACTCATCAAAACCTTGTGATATTTTTACGACATTCCAAAACTATCCCAAATGCCAAGCACAGGCACCTTGTGAAGGCCTAAAGTCAAGGACTGTGTTCTCTGGGATTCTGCTGAACAGCTCTGTGTAGGGCCAGGCACATCAGCCTGTCTGAAATACAGGCAAAGCAGAGCTGGGCTGAGCTGGACCTAATATTAGCCCAGCCTGGTGTTAGTCACACTGGCTTCCCAGCTCAGAGTCCATTTTGCTGTTCACATCCCTACAGAAGTCTGTGGTTTGGAAAACAGATCAGCTTGGCACCCTGCCTTGGGTTATGGAGTGATACCACATGGGTTATTTTTCTCTGGATCTGCAGGCAGAGCCATTCCAGAAGAGCTTCAACAAAACCCTCCCTGGACACAGGGGGTGTCACCTCTTTGTGGCCCTCCAGGGGCTTCAGCAAACAATCCAGCACCACCAAATAACGAAATGCTGGCCTGTGCATCATGGATCAGTGCAATGTGTGCCATGATCCTCTAGGACAAATGATCCAGTAGACACAGTCATCAATCATTAAGTGTATCACTCCATATATTCCCATCTTTTTATATGTTGGACTATATTTTGTGTAAAAGTGGGACAGTTAAAGTGTGTGTGTACACAAATCTGAATGCACAGGCTTTATTGTGATCAATCACTTGAAGTTGTTCATACTTTTTTAAGAAAAAAAAAAATCTTTTTTAATTTTTTATGAGTTATCCACAGTTTAAATTGATCTTTTTTTCAAATTTTCCGCAGAAATTGCTCACCCAGTCTCTCTACAGTCCTACCTGCATGAAATACAGATACACAATAGTCATGGCTGCATTATCAACTGAAAAAGTAAAATCCCAAAGGGCAACAGATAACAAACTATCTTTGAAACAACATTGAGAAACATGAGAGAGAACCATGTAAGAGTTAAGTTGAAGCCAATTCACTCTTTTTAAGTTATGACCTTTCAAAGTTCTTTGGGGGCCATGTAGCTGGGTTTTCAGTCGCTTTTCCTACTTACTCTAAAGTATTTCCAAAGTTCAGTGGAGTGCTTTTCTCTCATTAAAACTTGCAGTGACCTAAGAAGGCCTATAAAGCCTCATAAGTGGATGGAGAAATCTGGAATAATGTAAACAGAGTGTCTTCTGTTTGAAAACAACACTTAGAGAAGTAACATATATAGATATCCATACAAATACACTGAAATCTTTCCATGGAGATTAAATACATTTTAATAATAGATATATCTGTCAGTTCCATTGCAAGTTTTGGGTTTCCTATATGGAAGGATGAAATTTATAACTTTGTCCATGCAGGAATAGGACTATATGTAAAAATATAGTTGTTCCAGGCCTCCATCAGTGTGCCTTTCCACAGAGCACTATTTTGCTGCATAAAAGCAGCCAGAAGATTTAATCACTGTGGCCCAAAATTTCCATTCTCACTGTTGAACAACACGAAGAGCTTCAGAGCTATCATGCTGAGCAAATTTTCTGGTGGTTAGATAATTTGACAGTACTGAGTTCTCTGCCTTTTCTGAGTCCATCTAATTAAGATTTCACGCATAGGAAACAGAAGTTAAAGGAGATTTATAGTAAGAGAGAAAGAAAGTTGTACTTCTGTGTTTACTGTACCTGCAGTAAGACAGTACCCCCCGGGATCGTGAGCTGTAAACAGTACTTAGGGGCATTCTCCCAGGAGAGCAGTTGAACATCTTCAATAGCACTGTAGGAAATGGAGTTTTCCATGTACCCAGTTGGCTGCAAGAAAAGAAAGGAGAAAGGGGGGAAAAAAAAAAAGTTTACTTAGTCACCAGAAGTTTCACAATTTCAAAGTAAGAACAGCACTATAAAAATTTCTCTTGGTGTTGAAAATATCTGCAAAATCTAATTGGAAAGCAAAATTTGTCCTGGACCCAAAAATCAATGGAACCTAATTTCAAGTTGAATTGAGCTATGGAGGAGTCTGGCCATAAATGTGCTCTCAAAGTATGAAGCAGCATCTCAATCACACAGTACTGTACTACAGCAAGGTAGTTTTACTCCACACATTCTTGTTCTTCTCCCCAGCTGCACGTCTGATCAAGCACATAACCAAGATCTAGACTCCTACATTTGACAGTGGTTCTTGGGGTTCCAAAGATTCAGCCCTCAGGTTTTAGACTCAAGCAAAGCAGAGCAACCAACCTACTCATCTCGGCCTATATGTAAGTACTGGTTTCCTGCACAGTGTGCTGATCCCCAGTTTAAAGTGGAAGCCACAAGTAAAACATAAATAAGCAACTGAGTTTTGCAATTACACGTACAACATGAAGTGACAGTTGCAAGAAAACAAACTTAAACTCCTTATTAGTATCCCTGTAATTCTTAGGCATTAAGAAGTACAATTATCTCTGAGATAAGCTGAAATATAAGTGTATCTATGCAAGCACACATAAAATTATGTCCTAAACATAAGTTAATACACAGATCTATAGCAGTGTATCTATTGAGTATGTGTAAATCCACTGTACTTTATGCAAGGAATTTTTAAAGTAGTTGAGGATTTAACAGGGATTCTCAAAGATATCATTTATTTTGTTATAGCATAAGCAAATTGATCAGTATTCTGGTTGAGAAACTATTTTCAAACAAAAAAAATTAACCCCACCTCATGAATAAACCATTGGCTTGACCATGTCTTGCAAGAGAACAGAGCTCATTACATTTATGAATTATTTTCTCACTATTACTGGTTTACATATAACTTCAGCTTCTCAAACTTACTCCCACTGCGCCCAACATGTAAGATATTTTTAACTGACAGCCTTGAAATAAAGAAGACAAGGGAGAAACCACATCTATTTCAGGGTCAAACGGGGCCAGCTCCTAAAATCACAACACAGGATTCCTGGGGGCGAGTGTGAAATAAGCAAATTGCATTTGGAACGTCTCTGCTTCTAATTGGTACAACATTCTTCCATAAGTTAAGTAGGTGGTGCATCTGGGAACCGTCCTTTGAAGTTATACACTTCATACATGTTCATAAGCCCATGAACGTCATCCGCCAAAAACGCAGCGACAGCCCTGTCATCCACCTTTGCTGCTGCAAGAATTCAGTTGCCTTTTCAGCAGGAATAACCCAGCCAGGCACAGAACTCAACCTCAATATCTTTCTCAGTAACGGCTCTCGCGGCGGCGTTCGTTTCGTACCAGCCCTGGGTGAAAACAATTTTCACTGTCTCTTTAACGAAAACCTTGTTATGCAGGAAGTATGATAAACTTCTGCTTATTCATTTACCCACAACATTGTTCTACACTAGTGACTGGAATCCCAGTGGCTTAATGCTGATACTGTACGTCAAGCGTTGCCTACTGGAGGGTAATTATCTCATTCTCACAGGAAGCCAAAGGCCCAAGATCCTTCAGTAATCAGCATTACAACACTCAGGGAAAAATATCAAAACAGCCAACATAAAATCTAGTATGCTCAGGGGGGCAAAGTTATCAAAAACATGCTCAGGAAGACTGGAGAAAGGAGAAATCTAGGACCAGTTGATGCAAATATAAAATGAAACGAATCAAAGCAATTTAAATTTCTCTTTTAAGAAGGTGCTCACTGCCCTTAATACCCTCCATTAACTTCAAAGAGGATTTGAAGAATTCTCACAGAATCTGTTCCCAAGAGAAGCCTCCTCTATACCTTAAACCATCCACTTCAACAGCATTTAAAGACAACTGATCCAGTTCAACCACAGCTCTGTAGCCATACAAAAGTATGGCTACACCTCTTCTCACAGGACAGTCCTTTTCCTTATGAAAAATGGAGGAACACAGAGTTCCGCAGTTTGCAAAGGATGGGAAGACCACCTAAACCATAACATGGAATTACACAGATGGTTAATCTCTCCAAATGACAGCTACGCCAATGAGGTAGTTTATACAGCATTATATGATCCCATTTCCATGCATTCTATCCAGTCATACTACACACAGAACTTCACTACAGTTATTTGCTATCTTACTCAAAAAATGAGTAGCCCAGATACACTTTAATCCCTGTAAGCAACATGCATTTTTCCTGCTTCATTAAAAACACCAACGTTCTAAGAAGTGAAATATTTTCAGTTCTGAAAACACCAATCACAGGCAGCTTCACCTCTGTTTTGCAACCAAAAAAGTGTAGAGCAAAGTGATCTATCACTATAAAGGGCTCCTTGAAATTGTGCTTCTAGATGCTGACAAACACTGAAGACCATGCTCCCACATCAGGGCTGAGCAGAAATGCTCTGAAGATGCACTGAAACAGAGCTGTCATCAGATCTGAGGATTCCCAGAGCTCACAAGGCTGTGGTGCTCCTCACAGAGACCATGGCACTCATGAGGTGAAGGTCAGCCCCACACAAAGGTGTCCTTTCCCTAATCTCTCCACACACACAGACACGAGGACAGAGCCGTGTTCCCCACTTGTGTTTTCTCAAGACCAAGCACAGTTCAGCCATTAATCAGGAAATGGCCTGGGGTAAAACCACAGCCTGAGTCACTGGTTCCTCTTAAAACACAGGTTATTTTGACATTCAGGTATGTAAATGTCAATCACAGTGAATCATTGTGGTTGATAAATAAGCAGTGCAAGTGTTGCACCTTCTCATGTTGCAGCTGGTCTTGTTTGCACCCACCCCCAGAAGCTGCATCCTCACCCCCAGGGTCGCCCCATGGGAAATTCAAACTAGAACAACACACAAGACCAGGAATGTGGATTCAGAGATTTGAAAATACCTAAAACAAGACAGATCCTCAGTGGGTCACCACGAAGCATCTGGCATCGACACTAGTCTTAAGCAGCATTCCCACCTCCATCCACCCACTTTGTCTCTGCCCGTACAAATATTTGTCTGGCTGTGGCGTCAGGCAGATCAGGGAACACATCCAGCTTTTGCCAGATTACTTTTTAGCTCCTTCAGCCCTGTTTCTAACATGACATAGAAAATACTATGTTAACATAACTTAGGGGCAGTGTGTCATGGGGAAGGGGGAGCTGAGGACCTGAATACTTCAGTCTAATTATTGGTACGAGATAGCCTAAAGCCACAGCATCTTTGAGCAGCAATGCATCAAGTTCAGTTGAAAATGCCTTTATTTAAGAAAATAGTAACTCTTATTTTTATAGCAGTCATTTTTGAAAGGAGATTTATATTTCTTGGCAAAGTCAGAAATCTATCAAACGAAGCAAGATAATGGACTTTTCTCCTTCACTCTACAAAATTGATCCTGACTTAGGAAACTTTGGCCAGAGAATCTACAAGTGTCAGCTTACAGATTTACAGTTACAGTTTGAACTTCTGGCTGTTTGCTGTTGAACACGTTCTGAAAAACTCATAAGCCAAAATGCAATTTATTTCAACAAACAAAAACCCCAAGTCAAGGAAATACTTTTCTCTTCACATTAGCCTTTAGCCCTCTAATGAAACATTCAGCTTCTCCATTGGGAAATCAGGTATGTTTTAACCTCAGTGAGAACTTCGTCTTTTTTTCAATTCCACAAAGATTTATTTATCATGCAGCTTTGAAACAACTTTGCACCAGAATAACCACACACCAAAACCTACTACAAATCAAATCCTAAGGGGATCCAGCGCTCCCAAAACTGGAAGAACATGTAGGCTCCCGTGCAAGACTAGTTTTCTCTTCGTGTTTCTGGGAAAAGTCGGCAGCAGCAAACTACTCAATAATGCAAAAATCTGCCCGCTTGTTTCCATGGGAAATTCTAAAAGGGAAAGAATAAACATGACGTCCATTGTTAATACGAGGCCTGTATGCACTTACTCATATAATAATGTACTAAATCTTCAGCTGCATATTTTCCAAAGAAAGCGTCTGGAAAAGATGAATTCTACAAACAGAGATAGTTATTTGCATTAAAACATATTTAGACTGACAGCTCCCACCAACACAACAACAACAAAGAATGATTTTCCCAATTAAATACTCCAGATGGTGGGGGGAAATGGGGCTATTCCAGACCCTTGCTCTTCCACTGTCAGGTACTTATTTCTCTCTTGGATGCTTTTAAGAATGAGCCATGCTCCTGCTGGAGCCCAGAATGCTGAGCATCTCTACTATATATAAGTTTTCTATATCCAAATAAAATTCAGACCTGCTGAATAACATGGAGGACGAGGTGATTGCTCTCAAAACTTTGATGGGGGTGGAGACTATTTCATTGGCACACTGAAGGGTAATGGACTCTGAAACTGCTGAAAACAATGGATGATTTGAAATAAATCTCTGCTTGAAGACATCCATGGCTCCAGAGAACGTCCCTGCAAATGCAGCTATTTCAGATAAGGGCAATTAACATCTTTGTTCATTAACTACATAACCTATCAGAAGCCATTTATCCAGTTCAGCAATTAGTAGTACTATGGCATAATATACAGCGCAGTACAATTTGTCTTTTTCTTGATACGGAAGAATTTACTGCCATGTTCACTTGTCATAATGACTTGAAAGAGTTTCAAGTCAATCTCACAGAGATTAACGCGGTAAGAAAACAGAGAAAAAGACTAACAGTGGGGAAACGCCCAACTCTGCCCCCAAAACTGCACAAAGGAATTCCTGAGCCTTCTTGGAACAACACTCTCACCTAGTCCATCACACTTCTCAGCCTCTCCACCTGCCCATCATCACCACTCCCTTCCCACTCCTCCCAATAAGGAGGTGGTTTCATGTGTTGGGACCATAAGAGATTTCACCTGCTCTGTGTAGGTGTTCAACCCAGGGACCTGTGGGGAAGGGTCTCCTCATGGGGTGAATCTAAATTATTTCTGCTTGGAGTTGCTTCGTTCCTAAGTGTCTCCAAGTGATGGGGAGTGATGGTTGGTGGGGTTTGGGTTGGTTGGTTTTGGGGCTTTTTGGTACGTGGAAACAAATTTGGACACAAATCTTCAGCAAGGCTCTCCCCATCCACGGCAGCCAAAGTCTAGGGTGGACTAGTACAGTAATGATGACAAGAAAAAGAGGGAGGGGGTTTCCTACCACATTTCTTTGTGTGTGGGTGACTGTGTGTATAAACACCCACGTGTGTGTAAATGTACACGCACACCCCTGTCTTCCTAGATAAAAGATAGTAGAAATATATCACCTATTTCTCTATACAAAAATACAGCAGCCACTGATCAAAGTAGCTCAGGTTCAGTAAATGAAAGGATTTAATCAAGAAAGATCAGATCTTCCACAGAGCTGGTCAACCAAAATACATCAGTGGAACTTCACTGATTTGTACCAGCTGGGAAACTAAGTCAGAAACTCAACAGAATTTCAACCAAATCAAGCTCAGCAGCAAAAATGTGCCTAAATCTCTTTCTTTCCTCTAAATATTTAAGACAACCAAGACTAGAGGCTGTTGCATTAGTTAACCTTACAAAACTGATAAAAATGTAAGAGCTGCCAGTGAGAAACAATTTACCCTATACTGTGCAGGCAAAAAATCTTCCAATCTGCAATGAGACTCAAGTATCAGTTGTGTCGAGGTACAGCAAAGGGACTGACCAAAACTGCCCATCAAAGAGCTGACAAGAAAAAACTGGTCCCAGCATTAAGATATATGAGCTTAAAATGTCCAGCATTTTAAGAGAGGGAAGAACTTCATATTAATTCAGATCTGAAATAAGTTCAAAGCACGGAAGTTCATTTTTAAGAAAAAGGGAAAATAAGGTCATATTATGGGCTATGTACCATGACAGGAGAGTCAAATAAGCAGGAAAACTGTATTATTTAGCTGCAATTCATATAACTTTTTTTTT